GGTGGGGGTGGTGGAGGGGGGTAGTTTGTATGTAATAGAACAGAGCAGAGGGAACAAACTTGTTCATCAACAGATACCCAGGAGGTTTCAAAAACTGGAGAAGTCAAACAAAACACTTTTACTGTAAAATATCATAAGCGTCAGTTATTATATGTTTGTAATGCTTTTACACAAATTATCATTTGTGACACACACACACAGAGATATGCTCACAGACTGATACATACAATCACCCACATAGGCATGCACACGCTGACTGACACACATCGCACACTGACATGCTAGCACACACAAACATAGACAGGCATGTAGGTGTGCGCACACAAACTCCCCGACAGCTATACACACACTCACCTGCACACTGACAAATAGACACACAGAAACACAGACTGACGCACAAGTGTGCAGGGACAGACACACACTTGTACATTCACTTGTACACACACACACACAAAGATATGCTCACTCCCCCACATAGGCATGCACACGCTGACTAAGAGAGAGAAAAACACTCACAGAAACACACACAGACACACAGACAGACACACACAGACAAAGAAAAGGTCTCACAGACATACATGCACAGACTCACACAGAGATGGGGCACATACACAGACACAAGCAGAGAGAAAAACCACTCTCAGACATGCACACACATATACACACACACGCACGCACACACACATACAGACTCCAGCTTACCGCTTCCTTCTTCACTGTTATGCCAGAGGCCTGACTGTTATCATATCCATGGGGCAGCCATTAGTATGCCTGAAATGCTTTAATGAAAGCTTGGATCATGGCACGTCAATAGCTGTACTTATCATTTGGACAGCTCCATCTACACCTTTAATATTTAATTAGGTTCAATCAGAGTTCAGCTGTGTGCACACCCTCCCTGAGCCTTTCTGTACTGAGCAATCTCACAGCCTACTGCCCCAAGCGAGGGGGAGGAATGGGCTTCTGTTCAAAGGCTGGCAGCAAATACTCCACAGAAAGACGCCAGTTGGTAACAGACAAATGGTCTCCAGAGAAGGTGAAGAGAGCAGGGACATGTTTGGTTCAGCTAGATTATTATTAAGAGTGGGTTCTGCAGAACGGTCACTGGACCCGAAACGTTAACTCTGATTTCTTTCCACCGGTGCTGCCAGACCTGCTGAGTTCATCCAGCAATTTCTGTTTCTGTTTATGCGAGAATAGTGTTTTGTTCCTTGTACCTCATTGTATCCATGTCAGCTCTGCAGGCTCTGTGAGATGAATTTTAAACTGCTCTTATGCTTGTGGTGGATGTGATTTGAGTGGGCAGGTTGATGGCTATAAAATACACTCTACACTCCAGTAATCTGTAGGCTGTAGTTGAACTCTTTAAACTGCTGTAGATTGCAGTGCTAACACTTTGCTGCAGCCACTTATCATTTAGTGAAAGTAAAATGATGAGACAATTACTTTATCTGCATACGGTCTGCCACTCAGTTACTTGCAAGATCTTTGGAAGATTAATAGAGGGAAATGGGCTTCAAGATTTTGAATTCTCATCCTTGACTTTGAATGCCTCCCTGACCTCACGGTATCTGCCAGGCTGTGCTGCCCTTCGATATCTGTTTGCTCCTCCAAATTGGGAATTTCGTGCGGTCTTGATTTTGTTGGTTGTTGGACCTTCAGACGATTACAGTCATCCCTCAGTATCCGTGCGGGTTCTGTTCCTGAGAAACCCCGCAAGTGATGAAATTCACAAATGTGGAGCTCATTTAAAATTAGGATAAAAGTTGCCCATGATATCGAGTTTTTTTTTGTTGCTACTTATTTTTTGGTGCAAATAGACGAATTTGTAATTTCGTGGATACTGAGGATTTATTGTAGCTCCTAAAGTCGAGAATTTCCTCCCTAAAGCCATCCCCTTTTCTCTCTCCGTCTCTCTCTGTCTCTCTCTCTCTCTGTCTCTCTCAATCCTTGAAAACCTGTTTATTACACCAAGCTTTTGGTCTCTGTCCTGAGGGAAGTGGTGTTCGAAGGTAGAACGGGGTGTCCTCAGTGTGCGTGTGAAAATGAACCCTCTGGTTTTGGAAGATGTTGGTACAGAATGTAGATCGGACGTGGGGACGGAGGTAACAGGACGGGATGTTGCAAGAAAGGTAGGCAGGGGTTCGTTGTAGCAGAAGGTTGACCACATATTCAAGACAGACACGAGAGCAGGATTGTGGGAGTACTGCACCATTAAAGGTGCCAGCTTTAGGATGAGGCTTCAAATCAAGACCATCATCTGCACAAGAGGCAGAAACGATCCTGTGACGCCAATTTGGAGAAGAGTGACTAAACTCTTCACATTGTCCTGGTCAGTATTTCTCACTCAATCAATGTCACTAAAACAGGTTCTCCAGCTGTTACTGCTCATGGCAGCTTGCTTAAATGCACTATATAAATGCACTATATAACAAAAGATGTCCCAAAGCTTTTGCATGACTTGTGAACTGCTGTCAGTGTGGCAAATGCAGCAGGTTAGATGCAGTGATGCAACAGAAATGCAGCAGGGAACTTGCATGCAGAGAGATTTTTTTTGAAGCAGCAAACCAAATAAGTTCAGAAGTTGCTGGAAAAGCTCAGCAGGTCCGGCACCATCTGTGAAGAAAAATATCAGTTAATGTTTTGGGTCCGGTGACGTGTATATACACACACGTACACGTACACACACACATACACACGTGCGTACGCGCACGCGCACACACGTATGCGAGCACACACAAACGTACGCACGCACCCACACACATACGCGCGCACGTGTACACGCACGCACGCACATATATACTCACGCACTCTCTCTCACACACACACACGCACTCTCTCTCTCTCACACGTACACACACACACACACACACATTAAAATCAAAGCTGCAAACTCTCCTCATCTCTGCAACCCCACACCGCCACCGCTAGGACTCTGTGTCTGTAAACCCCTCTTCAAGGCATTCTTTTAATACATCTCACTACAACCTTTCGATCCTCTTCCAAAACCCATTAATGTCTCCTTTTAATACAGAAGAATTTTATGTGAGCACATTAAAGTTTATGTGATATTATTATCCCATATTTTCAGGCAGAAAACTTTCAACCCCTGGTGATTATTTGTGAGTTATTGAAAGCAGACTGGGAGAAAAAAATGCCAAGCATCCTAGGCTTATTCTCTTCTTAATGAATACGGCGAGCTAAAGAATGCTTTGAATTGATGCGACACAATTTAAACTGAACAATGTTCGAAAAATTGTTGCTTTGCCTGTTATTTTCATCAAAATCTCCACAGAATGAGCATCAGGAATGAGCTGCTTCAGTCACACCATTCACTTTCATGCAGACTTGTGAAGTGAAGCCTCTCTTAGAGATGTGTTTTATTCACTTGTGGGACACGCACATCATTGGCTGGGCCCATCATTTATTGCCCGTCCTTAGTTGCTCCCTGAGAAGGTGGTGGTGAGCTGCCACCTTGAAATGCTGCATTCCATGACCCACAATGCCATTAGGAAGGATTTTGCCCCATCGACAGTGAAGGAACAGCAATATATTTCCAAGTCAGGATGGTGAGTGACTTGGAAGGGAACTTGCAGGGGTTGATGCTCCCATGCATCTGCTGCCCTTGTCCTTCTAGATGGAAGCGGTCATGGGTTTGGAAGGTGCTATCTGAGGATCTTTGATGAATTTCTGCAGTACATCTTGTAGATAGTACACACTGTTGCTAGTGAGTGTCGATGGTGGAGGGAGTGGATGTTTGTGGATGTAGTGCCAATCAAATGTATTGCTTTGTCCTGGATGGTGTCAAGCTTCTGGAGTGTTGCTGGAGGATTACCCCTCATTTCCACTTTTATGGAATGCATTCACTTCCTTCTCATCCCATCAATAAGTTCATCAATATGCTTTTAATAGGCGATTGGATTAGCTTTTGTAAAATAACATAGAAATTAGGAGCAGGAGTAGGCTGTTCTGCCCTTCAAGTCTGCTCTACCATTCCACGTGTTCATGGCTGATCATCCAGCTCAGTGACCTGATCCTGCTTTCTCCCCATACCCTTTGATCACTTCAGCACCTTCTTGAAAGCATGCAATATTTTAAGAGAAACCTGTCATAGAATTAACCCATTTTGATTTCCTGGAAGGGAAAGGTGAAAGACGTGTCAAAACAGTGGACCTTCTGAACTTGCTGTATTTAATATTCAGTAGTTGTTTTTTTTTCCCCCTGAACATTGAACACATTATTAAATCCACACTGCCCAACTGAACACATAGCTTGCATTCCCTCAGGAAGGAGTGTTTCAGCTTATTAAGCAGAAAGGTGAACCGTATTGTGCTCTTTCAAATCGAACACTCTTCATTAGTTACATAATCTAAGGTCAAGTATCCCGAAATGTCTGGTTTTGAGTGATAAGAACATACAGAGGCTGTCTGGCCCCTCAACCTGTTTCATCATTCCATCATTTCGAGCTTATTTATTATGTTAACTCAGTCTCCTCTCCTTTATTCCTGATCATGAATGCCTAAACAAAACTCCACCTGTCTCAGTTTGGAAAGGTTACCTGCATCACCCTGGGGGAAGAGGGTTAGGGGTCATAGAGATCTGCAGCACAGGAATAAAGGCCGTTCAGCCCATTGCATCCATACCGATCAAAAAGCAAGCAGTTAACTATTCTACCTCCATTTTCCCATAGCCTTGTGCGTCTTGGCATGACAGGTGCATATCAAAATACTTCTTCAATGTTTTGAGGGCTTTTACCCCTTACTGGCAGAAAGTTTCATCATCCTTTGGATGATAAAAAGTTTTCCCCTCCATTTTCTTTTCCCAGATTTCCACTACCCCTCTCTGGGAAGGAGTGTTTCCTGAAGCCTCATGTATCCATTGAGCATCAGGCTACTGATTTAACGCTGGCCTATTCTCCCTGCAATCCGTTCCCACCCCCACCTGCTGAAAGATCTTTTCTCACACCGTGACTGACTGCTTCATTTTTCTTGTGTTGACAGGTCAATCTTGTCTTCTTGATCATCACTGTGTACAAAATGGTGAAACACACACCGACGTTGAAACCGGACTCGAGCAGGTTGGAGAACATCAAGTAAGTTATGGGAACCAGAGGCGTTGCTGGTGGAATGGGGGGGTGGGGGTGGGGCACGGTTTTGGGAAGGAGCTGGAGTGTGCAGGCCTCTTGCGATTTCTTTCTAACTCCGCACCGAACACTCCTTGCCTCTTGATGGGGGCTGATTTCCCAGGCAACCGTGAGATTCAGTCATTTCCTGCCCACCCCTGCACATGAATCATGTGATTGGGGTGTCTGGTTAGAACTGACCCTCTTCCAAAGGTCAGAGATGTTGACCAGAAGCGGAGAGGCATGTCAGAAGTGGAAGTCACCTGAGTGATGGTCAGTCTCATACTTGGGACTCACGTCTGTCAGAAGCAGAGATAATTTAATCTGGGTTTTGCAAACGCAGTTTGATGTTTGTTTGCATATTTGCCGTGATTTAATAGAGTTTGTTTTTCTAAATGGCTTTCTTCTCCTGTAGCCTGAGAAGTATTCCTTTGTAATCTTGCATTCTTAAGAGACTTAGCTGTGTGTTTGTTCACAGATAGAGAAGCTGCTCATTGTTTCAGTGATATCAGGAGGCTTAGCATCTCTATTAAATGCCAACTACACTGTAATGTGTGATATTTGCATAGAATAATGATGGAAAATATTGGCTGAGAAGAATAATGTGCAATGTGGGAAAAGCAGAACTAACAATAGCTAACAATAGCTATGGTCCAGAGTGCACTGCCTGTGAGGATGCTGCAAGTCGATTCACAACGAGCTTTCAGAAGGGGTCATAGAATTTACTCATAGAATCTCTACAGTGTGGAAGCAGACCATTCAGCCCATCGAGTCCACACTGACCATCCAAACAGCATCCCACCCAGACCCTATCTGTGTAACCCTGCATTTCCCGTGGCTAGTGCACCTAGCTTGCACACTATATGCAATTTAGCATGGCCACGTCTTTGGAGAGAGGATAATTTGCAAACTCCACACAGACATGGTGTTCACCCAACAAAGGAGCAGCGCTCCGAAAGCTTGTGATTTTGAATAAACCTGTTGGACTATAACCTGGTGTCACGTGACTTCTGACTTTGTTTCCCCCCCGCCCAATCCAACACCAGCATCTTCGCATCACATCCATGTAGACAGGTTGGAATCAAACCCAGGTAACTGGCACTGTGAGGCAGCAGTGCTAACCATTGAGCCACTGTGCTACCCCTGATGGAGAACTGAAAAGGAAATATTTCTAGGTCCCTAAAGTAAGAGTGGGGCAAAGTGGCTAGCACTTTCAGAGTGTTGGCATGGGCATGATGGGCTGAACGGTCTCTATCCATTCTGTATTATTCACTGCTACAATTGGTATTGAATCAAACTTAATTTTTTTTTAAATAATTAAAATTAAAATTCAGCTGTAAGTGACATTTTACTGGTACAGTCTCTACAAAAAAAGCATTTTGGGGATAATATGTGACCGTTTATATCTTGGCATTTTTAGTTCTATCTGTCAGCATGTTGCCATCTGAATATGTTACTTACACAGCCTTCAGCCACTGTATTTGTAGCCAAATAATTGAGTGCAACAAAGTTCGGAGAATCTCAGCAGGTCTGGCGGCATCTGTAGAGAGAGCGAAACAGAGTCAACCTTTCATTGAAAACATAAGAAATAGGAGCAGGTGTAGGCCATCTGGCTCAGGGAGCCTGCTCCACCATTCCATGAGATCGTGGCTGATCTTTTCGTGGACTCAGCTCCACTTATCCACCCTCTCATCATAACCATTAATTCCTTTCCTGTTCAAAAATCTACCTATCTTTGCCTTCAAAAGATTCAATGAGGTAGCCTCAACTGCTTCACTGAGCAGGAAAGTCCACAGACTCACAACCCTTTCTGTGAAGAAGTTCCTCCTCAACTCAGTCCAAAGTCTGCCCCCTCTTATTTTGAGGCTGTGCCCCCTCTTTCTAATTTCATCTGTCATTTCAGGTCTGAAGTGACTTCTTCAGAACCCTCCTCCTCTTCAAAAAGTTAATGCAGACTGGTGCCCAGTCTTGGTGATCCACTTGGTCCTGTGTGTTGGCCCATCTTGCTACTTTCTGACTCCCACTGCCAAGTGAGCATTCCTAGGGTATTTGGTTAGCGCAGGGAGTGCATGCCACCAGTCAAATATCCAGGCGGAGCTTGCTAAGTGAGTTTGTGCACCAGATCCCTGTTAGCAGTCTACGTTACAGGTTGGAAAGGGAGAGTGATAGTTCATAAAAACCAAAAGAACTGCGGATGCTGTAAATCAGGAACAAAAACAAAGTTGCTGGAAAAGCTGAGCAGGTCTGGCAGCATCTGTGAAGGAGAAAACAGTTAACATTTCAGGTCCGTGACCCTTCCTCAGAACAGATAGTTATCAGAGTGAAAGTTCAGTTGGGAGAGGTGTGGGCTGCAGAAGTAAGGTGACAGTTGGCATCACACTAGCAACAGATGCCGGTATTTCTATGATGTTTAAATGGCAGGATATTTGAATGCCACATTCACTGCATGCTGCATGAAGAGAGAGAGCTAATCTATAGGATCTCTCTCTTTCTCTCCATTTTCTCTCCTTGCCCTTTGGCTTCTCCTCATCCACACCAGTAATTACCGCGTATGCGATGGCTACTATAACACAGACTTACCGGGGTAAGAAGGAATCACACATACCAAAACAAAAATCTATTATTAATGCATGTTTTATTAATTTGTGGCTTGAGTAACTTTCTGACAACGTAATAATTGCCTTCATCTGGCTGCAAGTTTTATGAACTTTGCTAAAACCTGTGTGACCGTTTCCGGCTGAGAATAATTTTTGTACATAGCTGGTATTTGCCTTTCTTTTTATATTTAGAGAGAACCTTAATTTCTTCAAATATAATTGTATGAGCGCTTGCTTGAACTTCATTTTGCATTCAATATTGTCTAATTTTTTTTTGTCTCTTTTTCTGCTTATAATGCATTCTAGCTATGAGGATAATAAGCCACACCTGAAGTAAGAGCATTAGCCCAGAGGTTCATCTGTGGAACCTCTTTCTGTTTTCTTCTCTGCGCGAGTTTCCCTTCATTGCTGCTTTGTCTTTATTTCATAAAAATCTCATGAGTTATTGACAAAGCCAACCCTGTGGACTCCATACACAAAACGCAGCGGTAAAAGAAGGCCAGGCCATACACTTGACACTCTGTCCATGCCACATGGGATGAACAGTAAATGCTCACCTTAATCCTGAGGATTATTTCTCCTTTCTGAAAAGGTCTTCTTTACCAAGTACGCCTTTTAATGTTGCACTCTCAATCACAGTGGGAGATGCATGACCGGAAATCCTAAAACTAAAGATCAGCCATTTTGTCTTAGGCCTCATGCATAAATGTAGGCCTCAGGCTCCGTCTCTAAATGTAGACTGTTTCATTCGACCAAAAAGTGTTTAAAAACGAAATGTGTGTTGCATTATTCCGATTTCAAGGCTAGGATTCCTGACTTGCTATTGCAAAGAATAGGGGCAAATGGCAATAATAAACAGTCCATGTTAACACACAAAACTATCAGTGACTAATATCTCACAATGCCATTTCAACTCGAGAGCTTTTCTGTGTATATTATCTCCTACTGGCTAATAACAAAGGTCAGGAATAGAAGTGGAAATTGAAAGTGCCCCTACTTAAGCTGAAGGTGACAGGAAACTGGCTAGAATCAAGCTTGTAGAAGGAGAGGCCACATACATCTTAATCTGCTTACCAGAGAAGGTAGCCATAGTAATAAGAAGTAAAGACTGCTTTTGCAATATGTCTTTTAATGCAGTGCTTATATTGGATATAACCAAAGCTGGTTTCTTTGTTTCTCCCCAGGTCTTGGGTTCTAGGTGCTTTTGCTCTGCTATGTTTACTTGGCTTGACTTGGGGATTTGGACTGCTATTCATCAATGAGGAATCTATCGTAATGGCCTATCTCTTCACAATCTTCAACGCTTTCCAAGGAATGTTTATTTTTCTCTTTCACTGTGCTCTTCAGAAAAAAGTAAGTGTCACTGCGTGCATCCCCGTGAGCAATGAGAGCATTATTGTCCTCAGAAATTGGTACCTGGGGCAGGGCTGCAATGTACTGAGATAATTATTCTCGCGGGTAATACACCTGATGCAGTCTATGCTGTAAACACACGCGTGTGCGTTCATACACGCACGCACGCGCATACACGCACGCACGTGCACGCACAGGCGAAGTGTGGAACACACACAGTACACATGCGGGGCACACACCACGCTTACACACGAGACACATGGGATACGCACACCTGTGGGATGGACACAAACGTGGGACAGACACAAAGGGGACACACAACATAGATAGACACAGACATGCAACACAGAGACACATGGTACACACTTGCAGGACACATCCATGAGCACACTCATGAAATACGTATATACTCACACAGACATACAGAATGGCCACACACAGTGGGACACGAGATCCTCCCATTACCGTTTGTCCTGTTCCTGGGGACCCCGAGCATGAATACCTCTGATTTAGAATGGGAGACTTTGGATGGTTCTGATTCATTTGCCTGAATAGTTACTCTGGAAATGTTGAAAAAATCTTAGTCGAGCTCATGACTGAACCCGCAATCGCTCAAACTGACCCCTCAACACCCCCCAGAACCAGACCCTCGACTGTTTCCCTGACTCCCCCTGAACCGTCCCATCCAGGCAGCAACACCCAACCCCCTGACTAAACAGCTGACCTAACCTCACAACCAGGCATCACCCCAGGAAGTATTGCCACACACACGGACTGAAAACTTGTCAAAATGTTTTTCACCACAGCAGTTTGAAAACCAATGCATTCGATTATAGGGTGGTAAAATCTGCATTTATATCAATTGCAGAGTTTAGTTTGATCTGTAAAAGTTTGATCTCTGGGTGATCTCAACTGCCACAAGAATTGACCTGTATTCCTTTCAGATTATTTGTCCGAAATGATGAGGGGCTTTGCTAAGAGATTTTCCATTTGTTCCTGGGATGTGGGCATCGCTGGCTGACCAGCATTTCTTGCCTGTCCCTAGTTGCCCCTTGAGAAGGTGGGGGTGAGCTGCCTTCTTGAACCGCTGCAGTCCATGTGCTGTGGGTTGACCCACAATGCCCTTAAGGAGGGAATTCCATATTTTGACCCAGTGACAGTGAATGAACAGCAATATATTTTCAATCAGGATGGCGAGTGGCTTGGAGGGGAGTTTGCCATGTTTCTGCTGCCCTTGTCCTTCTGGATGGAAGAGATCATGGTTTTGGAAGGCGCTGCCTGAGGATCTTTGGTGAATTTCTGCAGTGCATCTTGTAGATAGTACACACTGCTGCTACTGAGTGTCGGTGGTGGAGGGAGTGGATGTTTGTGGATGTAATGCTAATCAAGCGGGCTGCTTTGTCCTGGATGGTGTCAAGCTCCTTGAGTTTTGTTGGGACTGCACTCATCCAGGCAAGTGGGGGGAGTATTCCGTCACACTCCTGACTTGTGTCTTGTAGGTGGTGGACAGAGTCAAAAAGAGGAAAATGATTCTAATCACAAGAAGGCTCATGAATGTAAGATAATTGTGTAAAGAAGTAGGAGAAGAAGAGGATTCTTTTTCTCTCTCTCTCTCATGCAGTGTTAGGATCAGGAATGCACCCATCTGAAAGCAAGGCAGAAGCAGATTCAACAATAACTTTCAAAAAGGGAGTTGGATAAGTCATTGTCGGGTGAAGAACGTTGATCTTTGCAGAACAACAAGGGAAACCAGTCTAATTGAAAGCTTTGTCAAAGACCAAACATAGGCACACAATGGGTTGAAACATTCTATCAGTGCTGTCCCTGGTTCACATGTTATTTTAACCAAGAATGCTGGTTCAGCATCTCACAGGAGTGAAGAAATTGCTGCCCTGTTCAATTGTAGCTTCAATGGAGGGCAAAAGCAAACAAATTGAAAAACCAGAGATAGTAGGAACTTCCAATGCTGGAGAATCTGAGATAACAAGATGTAGAGCTGGATGAACGCTGCAGGTCAAGCAGCATCAGAGGAGCAGGACGGCTGACGTTTCAGTCTAGGCCCTTCTTAAGAAAAAAAAACAAGTTGAAAAACCAGTATTGCACCTGATCCCCTCTCTCCCCAGTGGTGGGGTAATGTTTAAGTTACTCCTGGCTCTCCCTTGTTTGCCTCAGAGATGTTTCTAGAATGCATCTCTGCAGCTTAATTCAAGTTGTGACTGTGCAGTTTGACCTCTGATTTTGAAAAACAAATTGCGGATTCAAAACTTGTTACCCGTGATTCTGTCACAGTGCATTTCATTTCTCGGCAAAATATGCAACTGAGAAAGCACTACAGACCAAGGTTCAGATGGGAAAGTCTTTCAACCAGATCTATTTTGATGAGAGGGACCGATTTGCAGTTAACAAATGGGAGTTTGGCCACTATCATTTCGAGGCCGAAGCATTATGGGATGGAGGGCTGGTCGCACTCGTAGAATTCACTCTGCCACTATTTCATGTGCCCAAACCTAATCACAGCTGCATCTGCCTTCACTCAACAACATCCTTTTAAACATAAGGAGTTCCACCAATTTTAACATTAACCTGGTGGTAATTCCAATGTGGCGCTGTCATATTTTCTCCCCAAAAGTGGCCACGCAAATAGAGCGGGAACAAAGGCATATGGCATGCTTGCCTTTATTGGTCGGGGAATTGAGTACTAGAGTCAGGATGTCATGCTGCAGCTTTGTAAGACTTTGGTTAGGCCGCACTTAGAATTTTGCTTTCATTTCTGGTCACCACATTACAGGAAGGATGTGGAGGCTTTGGAGAGGGTGCAGAAGAGGTTTACCAGGATGCAGCCGGATTAGAGGGTGTGAGCTATAAGGAGAGTCTAGAAAAACTCGGGTTGTTTTTTCTAGAATGGTGGAGACTGAGGGGAGACTTGATGGAAGTCTGTAAAATTATGAAATGCTTAGGTAGGGTTGATGGTCAGAATCTTTTTCCCAGAGTTGAAATGTCTAATACTATAGGGGGCATGCATTTAAGGTTAGGGGGGAAGTTGAAAGGAGACGTGAGGGGCAAGTATTTTGCACAGAAAGGGGTAGGAGTCTGGAACACGCTGTCAGGGCTGGTGGTGGAGGTAGATACAATAGGGGCATTTAAGACACGTTCAGATAAGCACATGAATATGCGAGGAACGGAGGGATATAGCCCAAGGGCAGGCTGAAGGGATTAGTTTAATTTGGCATCATGTTCTGCACAATGTTGAGGGCTGAAAGTCACGTTTTTGTGTGTACTGTTCCATGTTCTGTGTTTCAAATCAAGAATAAAAACATTCCCTTTGCCACAGACTGTAGGAAAACAAAAGAGTTGCATTTACACATTGCTGTTCACAAACACTGGCACGCCTGAAAACATGATACTGTCAAATACAAGTAGTTCCGCTACAGCACATGTTTCGTTAACACAAATTGGCTGCAACAGGATTGATGAATAGTGGACGCTGTTTGAATAACACAAACTTTCTGCTGTGTAGGTATAGCGATTTCCCCATACCGTGTTTTTCTGTACAGGTCGATCTTCTATAACACGACAGTTGCGTTCTTGTGTGATCTAGCACTATTGGAAATCGCCGTAGAAAATCATGTTATAGGGAAATCGCTATAGAAAATAGCTACAGCTGTACAGCAGAAAGTTTGCCGAATTATCCAAACAGTGTCCACTATTCATCAATCATTTTACAGCCAATTCACGTTCACGAAAAACACATTATAGCAGAACTACCTGTAGCGCGATTTTTCTAGGTCACACAAGAGCACAACTAACGTGTTACAGGAGAACCTGCCTGTATTTCCCAAACTATAACAACCACAGAGAATTACTGGAGAAACTCAACAGGTCTGGCAGCGTCAGAGAGAGAACCAGAGTCAGTGTTTCGAGTCCAGTGCGACTCTTCTTCAGAACTGGAAAAGTGCTGACTGCCTCCTGGTAAAACTGCAGTTGAAGGGAGTTTGGGTGATCAACTTAAACCACAGCATCCGGCAAATTGCAAAATGTTCCAAACTCGAATCACTGTTGCCCTGTGGGAAACCACAGTAGCTGTTTACTCAAAGCAGGTACCCACAAGCAACAGTGGAGCTGTCACCAGATAATCTGCTTCATGTGAAACGAGAAACACGAAGAGGCCGCTCGGCTCCTCCACCCTGCTCCACCATACAGTGAGATCATGGCTGATCTGATTTTGGATGCATTTTGGTGGCTCAGTGGTTAACACTGCTGCCTCACAGCGCCAGGGACCCGGGTTCGATTCCACCCTCGGGCGACTGTCTGTTTTGCACATTCTCCCCGTGTCTGTGTGCGTTTCCTCCGAGTGCTCCGGTTTCCTCCCACAGTCCAAAGATGTGCAGCGTAGGTGGATTGGCCGTGCTAAATTGCCCATACTGCCCAAGGATGTTTAGGTTAGGTGGGTTAGACATGGGAAATGCAGGGGTAGGGGGATGGGTCTGGGTGGGATGCTCTTCGGAGGGGCGGTGTGGACTTGTTGGGCCGAATCGCCTGTTTCCACACCGTAGGGATTCTATGGTTCTATGATTTAAGATTTTAACCTTGACTGTACATTCCTGCATATCCCCAGTAGTCTTTCATCCCCTTGTTGTCAAGTATCTACCTACCTCTGCCTTAAAAATATTTAAAGATTCTGCATCCACTGCCTTTTGAGGAAGGGAACTCCAAAGACTCTCAACCTGCTGACAGAAAAAAAAACTTTCCTCGTCTCTATGTTAAGTTGGCAATGATCCTGTTAAACTATGATCCCTCATTCTGGATTCTCCCACAAGGTCCTTTCCAAGTCCATCCAGTCAAGTCCCCTTAGGAGCTTGCAAGCTTCAATTCAGTCACCTCTGACTCTTCTAATCTCTGGAGGATGCAGCCTTGGCCTGTCTAATCGTTCCTCACAGGGCAATAAGCTGAATCTGACCAGTATTGTTAATTGAAGGATAAATATTGATTGGCCCACACCGCTAAGGGAACACCACTGGTCTTCTTGGGAGAGTGACAGGGTCAAACTGGACTCAAAACATTAACTCTGTTCGTCTCTCCACAGATGCTGCCAGACCTGCTGAGTTTCTCCAGCAATTTTCGGTTTTTTTGTTCCACTTTCCACAGCAGTCCACAGTCCCCCTGACCACAGTTAGGCTGGGTGGATTAGCCATGGGAAGTGCAGGGCTACAGGGACAGGACAGAGGTTCGGCGCTGGGTGGGATGCTCTTTGGAGTGTCAATGTGGACTCGATGGGCCGAATGGCCTGCTTCCACACTGTAGGGATTCTATGATTCCAGTGCCAAGCTTTGAATGCCATGTCGCTTTTGAAGTGCTCACCCAAGTAGCTTTTAAAGTTTGAGTTTTCCTATCTGTACTACCATCTCAGACAGTGCATTCCAGACACCCCCAACCTCTAGGCGGAAAACAAAACTTTCTTCAAATCCCCTCTAAACCTGCTGCCCTTCCCTTTAAAATTCCCCCTTGTTACTGACCCTTCAATGAAGGGAAACAGCTGCTCTCTATTCACCCTATCTATGTCCTCATAATCTTGTATGTCTTAATGAGGTCCCCCTCTGCTCCAAAGAAAACGACCCAAGTTAATCCAGCCTCCCTTCCTCAATAAAGTAGTCCATCCCAAGCAACATCCTGGTGAATCCTCTCTACAACCCCTCCAGCGCAATCACATCCTTATGTACCTTATGTCCAGCTGTACTATGATGGTGTCTGACCGAGCAACACACAATCAGCTGTTCAGCCTGTGTATTACACCCACTAAATAGCAGCAATTTGTGACAGAACATCCTACCAGGAATTCCAATTTGCGCTAACAAGGCAAACAGACTGGCATAACTAGATTTCATGTTGAAAAAAAAAACAGGGCATGACAAGGGCCCAGACACTGAGGTATTGATGTTCAACCTTTATGTATTCATCTCTATTGCTGTAAATACTCCTTGGAATCTAATTTATTGGTGCTGCTTTAAGTGACATTTATTAACTCTGTCAACTTTATTGGCAATAATTAACAGGATGTACATCAGTTTGCAAAACTCAGTTGTCACATTCCCTGAAGCCAAAGCTGGCCTGTTGCTCTCATCCTTCACCACAGGCCTGTGTTGAACCAGCCAACGGGATCAGTTCTGTCACTTTGGATCAGAGGTGGGGAGTGTGATGTAAAATCAGCCCGAGCTCCCACCGCGGTTTCGTTTCCCTGCTGTCCTTGGGAGCGTGGCCTTTTCTAAAATTGATTCACAGTTCCGTTTGTCACTCAATCCTAATTCTCCTCAGAATAAGCACAAAATTGCCTTGCATCTGGTCCTGTATATTTCTCATGGAAGAGAATGTGAGGTGGTTAGTTTATAGAAGATATGAAAAGAGAGTGGTGAAGACTAGATAGGGTCGGGGTGTACAAAGTCATGACAGACATAGGATTTGGGAGAAGGAGAAGGCGTTAACATTTGATGGCAGCATGGTGGCTCAGTGGTTAGCGCTGCTGCCTCATAGCACCAGGGACCCAGGTTCAATTCCACTCTTGGGTGACTGTCTGTGTGGAGTTTGCACATTCTCCCCGTGTCTGCGTGGGTTTCCTCGTACAGTCCAAAGATGTGCAGGTTAGGTGGATTGGCCATGCTAAATTGCCCATAGTGTTCAGGGATGTGTAGTTTAGGTGGGTTATAGGGGATGGGTCTGGGTGGGATGCTCTGAGGGTCGGTGTGGACTTGTTGGGCTGAAGGGCCTGTTTCCACACTGTAGGGATTCTGTGATTTGATAAGATCTAGGGCACAGTCGCTGTAGTGTCAGTGGACCCTAGGGCTGCTCGGCTATTAGAGAGAGATGACTGGTGTTGAGTTTAACCTGAGGGTCACCATGCCTCAGGTGAGGAGCGAGGTGGAGAAGGTGGAAACTTCGTGGTAACCTCAGCCTCATGTGGAATCAGTTTGTAGTCACATGTCTGTTCCCCCCTGCCATAACCCTTGACTGTCAAAAACCCTGTATCACCAACGCTGCTTAGACAGATCTTCCAAACTCCCAGTCTCTCCATCTGGAAGGACAAAGACAGCAGATACATGGAAACGCCACCATCAGTCAGCTCCCCTCCAAGTACCACCTGACTTTGAGCAATATCACTGTCCCTTCACTGGGTCAAAATCCTGGGATTTCCTCCCAAACAGCACTGTGGGTGTCCCTATACCACACGGACTGCAGCGGTTCAAGAAGGCAGCTCACCACCACCTTCTCAAGGGGCAACTAGGGATGGGAAATAAATGCTGGGCCCAGCCAGCGATGCCCACAGTTCGTTAATAAGTAGAAGAACAAACTGATCTAACGGTGTGCCGATACAGAGTTGATAGGATGAAACTGTCACCGTTGGCAGAAGCTGTGAGAACCAAAGGACACTGATTTAAAGTGATGAGCGAAAGAATCAAGGGGTGACATGACAGAAAGAAAAAGTCCTTTTCTCTCAATGAGGGGTTTAGGACCTGGAATGTGCTGGCTGAATGTGTGGAGACACATTCAGTTGTGACTTTCAAAAGGGGATCGGAGTAATTATCTGAAAATAAGAGAAAATTGAAGCTTACAGGGAAAACAAGGAAACGTGGGAAATAGGGACAAGAGTAGGCAATTTGGCCCTTCAAGCCTGCTCCATCATTCAATATGATCATGGCTGAGCATCCAACTCTGTTCCTTTTTTCTCCCTATGGGCTTGGATCCCTTCAGCCCCAAGAACTCCTTTCTTGAAAAAGGAGGGGCGTTCCTAGCTGCCCACTATTACAGAGAACAGGCATGGGAGAGATGGACCAAATGGCCTCCTTCTGTGGCTTAACCATTTTCTGCTCCTGGTGAGAGAACAATGCACTGCAGTGGCTGGAGTGGACTACCTTCAGCTTGTAATTTTACTGCAATGAACGTTGACCCACCTCCTCCAAACAACCGTTGTATCCAGTGATAACACAGTGTGGAGCTGGAGGAACACAACAGGTCAGGGAGCATCAGAGGAGCAGGAAAGTTGACATTTCGGTTCGGGACCCTTCTTCAGAAATCAGCATGTGCATGCAAGAAGCTCATTTCAAAAGTGAATCCAAGACTTTGTTTTGTTCTTTGAATCTCCCCTACCAGAAGTTGCCCTTTTGTAGCCCTTGAAAAAAAAAAGTGGGTGGCATGGTGGCTCAGTGGTTAGCACTGTTGCCTCACAGTGCCAGGGACCAGGGTTCGATTCCACCCTCGGGTGACTGTCTGTGTGGAGTTTGCACAATGTCTGCGTGGGTTTCCTCTGGGTGCTCTGGTTTCTTCCCACAGTCCAAAGATGTGCAGGTTAGGCTGGATTGGCCATGCTAAATTGCCCGTAGTGTTCAGGGGTGTATAGGTGAGGTGCGTTGTAGGGGGATGGGTCTGGGTGGGATGTTCCGAGGGTCAGTGTGGACTTGTTGGGCCAAAGGGCCTGTTTCCACACTGTGGAGATTCTGTGATTCTAAGTGTCACACTTGACTCTGCCTCAGGAGACAACTCCATGAGATCTTAGTAAGTTGATGCTGTATGCTGGTGTACAGAGTGCACTAACGCCTCATCTTTTCCACACCGGCAGGTCCGTAAAGAGTACAGCAAGTGTTTCCGCCACTCGCAGTGCTGCAGCGGGTTAACCGGTGACAGCTCCCACAACTCTGCCAAAGCGTCAACAAGTAGGACCAGCGCTCGCTACTCCTCTGGCAGCCAGGTACCTCGAGGCTCGAGAACCTCAACCGTTACGGTGCAGAGAACGGAGGAGCTGGGAACAATTCTCCTCCCAGCAGAGAAGGTTCAGGGGAAATGTAACAGAGGTGTACAAAATCACAAGGAGTAGCTTCTTCCTTTTCATAGCAAGTGGGCTTCACGAGCAAGACCAGCATTTGGTGCTTGTCCCTAATGGTCTCATTGTCTGGCAGAGCCATCTCAGGGGGAATGAAGAGTCAACCACATTGCTGAGGTTCTGGAGTCTTAGAAAATTATTTTAATTCCACCTGTTCATACCTGCAGGATCAGGTGATACTTGAACCCCAATATTCAAATCCAGAGGTAGGGTCAACACCACAAGACTCGCACTTGTTGGTCTGTGTTAGCATTCTAATAATAACCTCAGAGTGATTGTCAACATGGTGTGGGCTTTGTCTCAAGGAGAGTATTTCGAATTGATGTAGCAATTCTTATGGTCGCTCCCATAATAAGAACGTGAGACATGTAAGGTGATATTGAAAGATTCAATAGGCCAGGCGAGGTAAAGATGGCAGATTTCCAATACCATTAGAATTAGAATGTGGCTTATTGTCATGTGTACTCAAATACAGGAGTACAGTAAAAAAATTTAGTGTCGTCCCACATGGTGCTATTTTTCGGTACAAAATACCTAGGTACAAATCCTAGATGCTAAAACAGAGAAATAAAGAAAAGAAAGTTATATTATCTTACAGCTATTCATAGTATAAGTTAAAAAAGGAAGTAAAGTTAAAAAGATAAACTTGACAGTCTTTCTATACAGGGACAGCAGTAGACCAGCACAGGGGGCTTCCATACATGGTGTGATCAGGCTCTCAATCTGCTGACCGGTCCCCGGTCCAACAGCCATCGCCACTCCACACTGGCCGTCCCACCCTACTCCAGGCCTCCAGCCTGCCTCCATCCCCACCCTGCTCCAGGCTTCCACCCTGCCTCCATCCCCACCCTGCTCCATCCTGCCTCCATCCCCACCCTGCTCCTGGCCTCCAGCCTGTCTCCATCCCCACGCTGCTCCTGGCCTCCAGCCTGCCTCCGTCCCCACCCTGCTCCTGGCCTCCATCCTGCCTTCAACCCCACCCTGCTCCAGGCCTCCAGCCTGCCTCCGTCCCCACCCTGCTCCAGGCCTCCAGCCTGCCTCCGTCTCCAGCCTGCCTCCGTCCCCACCCTGCTCCTGGCCTCCATCCTGCCTTCAACCCCACCCTGCTCCAGGCCTCCAGCCTGCCTCCGTCCCCAGCCTGCCTCCGGCCCCACGCCGCTGCAGGCCTCCAGCCTGCCTGCATCCCCACCCTGCTCCTGGCCTCCAGCCCACTCACTAGATGCTGCACATCTGAGCCAAATGGTCCTTACTGCCATTGTTTCACAGTTACCAAAGACTTTCTGACCTGAATTCTGATGTCCCCTCTTGCCTTGGTTGGATTTCAAACCCAAGTCGCCAGAAGATTAGCCCAAGTCACTGGATTATGAATCCACTGGCAATGCCACTGCATCCCCACCTACCACAGGGTGGTGACCTCCCATTGGATGAAAGGGTCAGTGACGGGAGGGTGCAGATTTCAAAGTGATTGTCAGGCAGTGGGAGGGAAGAGAAATTTTGTGTTTGGAGAGATGTAACAAATGGGAACTCCCTGCCTCAAAGGGGATGGCTGTTTCCAGAGTAACGTCTAACCCAGCGAATAAGGGCAGCAAAGCCAGTGGAGCATGCAGTGACTAAAACAGATTGTAACGTAGATATATCCTCAAAAGCATAAACACTTAGAGGGCTCCCAGGGTGGGGGGGTGGTCAAGTAGCCAGAGGGTTGTGAAATGCATTGGGTTGTACTTCCAAGAGGGCTGGCATAGGCATGATAGGCCAAAGGGCCTTCTGTCACCCACAGTTCCATCTGGAGGGTGGCACGGTACCAATTAAACAACCTCCTCTTGATTTTGTCACACCTACATCAGGAGAAATTCTGGTACAAGATTGTTATGGTGTAAATGTATGCTGGAACAGGCTGAAGGGGCCGAATGGCCTTCTCTTATGCCCCCTCGTCATGTTACGCTTTGTTGCAACTAAAAAATCCTTCAGCGTCCCCAACGTTTATGTCCCGTTGCATGTGTAACTGTCGATTGACTTGCCTGACTCTGCTAAAATCCTTCATGCAGCTTGTTTTGTGAATAGCTCATTCTCCAATACCTTTCCACTTTTGTAAGTTAATGCCTTCCCAGATGGAGGAGTTCCTTCAGGGGAAGATGGATTTGATGCGCTATTGTTTTCTGATGGATCTCAGTGAGATCCCCATACACCACCACCGACACTCCTTACTGCCCCTCATTTCTCAGCACTTTATTAGAGGGAGAAGTTACACTGAGTTGGGGGGAGGGGGATGGGGGCAGGCTCCCAGGTTCCATCCCTGCCAACTCTCGTTCCATGTCGACCCTGTCATAAGGTGGCTTCTTTTCGTCTTGACGTTCCCTTGGCTTTGAGGAAGCAGAGAACCAGCCACACTCTCTCTCTCTCTCTATTTGACTCGGGCTGGGATGCGAGGTGCATGGGGGCTGAGGACAGGGAAGGTTTATGTCCCCCATCTAGCCCCTTGCAGTCAATCAGCCCCTATTGCTACATGTTGTTCCACTGTTCGCACTGGGGGAGCGGCAGCTTGACTGAGGAATTGGAAGACAGGCAAGTACTGGCAGGACTGCACCTCCAGGCCGAGACTCAAGCAGATATTCTTTGGGGTTGGAAATTGGTCGGAAAAGACTTGGGAATGAATGGAAGACGTTAAAAAAAGGGAATGATGCAAGTGTGAGATAACAAGGTGTAGAGCTGGATGAACACAGCAGGCCAAGCAGCATCATAGGAGCAGAAAGGCTGACGTTTCGGGCCTAGACCCTTCATCTGATGAAGGGTCTAGGCC